ATCCCCCAGTGCTCATCACCTATTTTACCCATCCCCGCCCACCCACCTCCCCTCTGAAAACCATCAGTTTGTTCTCTATAATTAAGAGTCTGTTTCTTGGTTTGTGTGCGTGTCTCTCTCTCTTTTCCCTTCCTTGTTTGTTTTGTTTCTTAAATTCCACATCTGAGTGAAATCATATAGTATTTGTTTCTCTCCAACTGACTTATTTCACTTATTTAGCATTGTGCTCTCTATCTCCATCCATGTTGTTGCAAATGGCAAGATTTTATTCTATTTTATGGCTGAGTAATATTCCATTGTATATGTATACCACCTCTTTATCCATTCATCACTTGATGGACATTGGACTGCTTCCATAGTTTGGCTATCGTAAATAATGCTGCTATAAACATAGAGGTACATGTATCCCTTTGAATTAGTGTTTTTATATTTTTTGGGTAAATACCCAGGAGTGCAATTGCTGGATCATAGGGTAGTTCTATTTTTGAAGAACTTCCATATTGTTTTCCAGAGTAACTGCACCAGTTTGCATTCCCACCAGCAGTGCAAGAGGGTTCCTTTTTCTCTGCATGCTCACCAACACCTGTTGTTTCTTGTGTTGTGGTTTTAGCCATTCTGATAGGTGTGAGATGATATTTCAGTGTAGCTTTGATTTGCATTTCCCTGATGATAAGTGATGAGCATCTTTTCATATAGATTGGCCATCTGTACGTCTTATTTAGAGAAATGTCTGTTCATGTCTTTTGCTCATTTTTTAATTGGATTATTTGCTTTTTGGGGGGTGTTGACTTTTATAATTTCTTTATGTATTTTAGATACTAACCCTTTAGTCAGATATGTCATTTGCAAAAACCTTCTCCCACCATGTAGATTCCCTTTTAATTTTGTTGATTGTTTCCTTTGCTGTGCTGAAGCTTTTTATTTTGATGTAGTCCCTCTAGTTTATTTTTGTTTTTATTTCCCTTGCCTCAGGGGACCCATCTAGAAAAAAGTTGCTATGGCCAACATCAGAGAAATTACAGCCTGTGCTCTCTTCTAGGATTTTTATGGTTTCAGGTTTCATATTTAAGTCTCTAATCCATTTTGAATTTAGTTTTGTGTATGGTGTAAGAAATGGTCCAGTGTCTTCCTCTGGCATGCTGTCTAGTTTCCCCAAAACCATTTATTGAAGAGACTATCTTTTTCCCACTGGATATTCTTTCCTGCATTGTCAAAGATTAATTGACCGTATAATTGTGGGTTCATTTCTAGATTTTCTATTCTGTTCAGTTGATCTATGTGTCTATTGTTGTGCCAGTACTATACGGTTTTGATTACTACAGCTTTGTAAAATAACGTGAAGTCTAGAATTATAATGCCTGTGGCTTGGCTTGGCTTTTTCAAGATTGTTTTGGCTATTTGGGGTCCTTTGTGGTTCGAAACAGATTTTAAGATTATTTGTTCTGGTTCTGTGAAAAATGCTATTGGTATTTTGACAGAGACTACATTAAATGTGTAGGTTGCCTTGGGTGATACAGACATTTAAACAATATTTGTTCTTCCAATCCATGAGCATGGAATGTCTTTCCATTTCTTTGTGTCATCTTTAATTTCATGCATCAGTGTTTTATGGTTTTTAGAGTACAGGTCTTTCACCCCTTTGGTTAGGTTTATTCATAGGTATCTTATTATTTTTGGTACAATTGTAAATGGAATTGTTTCCTTAATTGCTCTTGGTGCTGCTTCATTATTGGTGTATAGAATTGCAACAGATATCTGTAGATTGATTTTATGTCTTGTGACTTTACTGAATTCATTTATCAGTTCTAGCAGTTTGTTGGTGGAGTCCTTTGGGTCTTCTATATATAGTGTCATGTCTTCTGCAAATAGTGAAAGTCTTAACTTCTTACTTACTGATTTGAATGCCTTTTATTTCTTTTTGTTGTGTGATTGCTGTGGCTAGGACTTCTAGTACTATGTTGAATAAAAGTAGTGAGAGTAAACATCCTTGTCTTGTTCCTGACCTTAGGGAAAAGGCTCTCAGTTGATCCCCATTGAGGAGGATGTTAGCTGTCAGTTTTGCATATATGATCTTTATTATTTTGAGTTATGTTCCCTCTAAACCTACCTTGTTGAGGGTTTTTATCATGAATGAATGTTGCACGTTGTCAATTTTTTTTTTCTGCATCTGTTGGAATGATCACATGGTTCTTACCCTTTCTCTTACTGATGTGATATGTAACATTGATTGATTTGCAAGTATTGCAGCCCAGGAATAAATCCCACTTAATCATGGTATATGATTGTTTTTTTAAATGTATTATTGGATTCAATTTGCTAACATTTTATTGAGGATTTTTGCATCTGTGTTGATCACACATATTGGCCTGCAGTTCTCTTTTTGTGGTGTCTTTATATGGTTTTGATATCAGGGTAATGCTGGCCTCAAAGAATGAATTTAGTTTTCCTTCCTTTTCAATTTTTTTGAATAGTTTGAGAAGAAGAGATATTAACTCCTTTTTATTTTTATTTTTTTTATTTATTTTTTTTTTAATTTTTTTTTTTAATGTTTATTTATTTTTGAGACAGAGACACAGCATGAGCAGGGAAGGGGCAGAGAGAGAGGGAGACACAGAATGTGAAGCAGGCTCCAGGCTCTGAGCTGTCAGCCCAGAGCCCGACACGGGGCTCAAACTCACGAACTGTGAGATTGTGACCTGAGCCGAAGTCGGACGCTTAACCGACTGAGCCACCCAGGCGCCCTTAACTCCTTTTTAAATGTTTAGTAGAATTCACCTGGTCCTGAACTTTTGTTTGTTGGAAGTTTTTTGATTATTGATTCAGTTTCTTTGCTGATGATCAGTCTGTTCAAATTTTCTGTTTCTTCCTATTTTTGTTTTGGTAGGTATGTCTTTCTAGGTTGTCTAATTTGTTGGCATATAGTTTTCTAAAATTCTCTTACAATTGTATTTCTGTGGTGTTTGTTGTTATTTCTCCTCTTTCATTTGTGATTTTATTTATTTGGATCCTTTCCCTTTTTTTTTCTTGATAAGTCTGGCTGGAGTTTTATCAATTTTATTGATTTTTTTTCAAAGAACCAGCTCCTAGTGTCATTAATATGCTTTATTGTTTTTGTTTTGTTTTGTTTACATATCATTTATTTGTGTTCTAATCCTTATTATTTCCTTCCTTCTGCTGGTTTTAGATTTTGTATGTTCTTTTTCTAGCTCTTTTAGGTATAAGGTTAGGTTGTTTATTTGAGATTTTTGTTGCTTCTTGAGATAGGCCTGTATTGCTATAAACTTTCCTCCTAAAACCACTTCTGCTGTATCCCAAAGGTTGTGAACTGTTGTGTTTTCGTTTTCATTTGTTTCCATGTACTTTATTTCTTTTATTTCCTGGTTGACCCATTTACTGTTTAGTAGTATGTTATTTAACCTCCATGTATTTGTGGTCTTTCCAGATTTTTTCTTATGGTTGACATCTAGTTTCATAGTGTTGGGCTCAGAAAAGAGGCATGGTATGACTTTGATCTTTTTAAATTTTTTGAGGCTTCTTTTGTGCCTTAATATGTGATCTATTCTGGAGAATGTTCCATCTGCACTTGAAAAGATTGTATATTCTGCTGTTTTATTTAGGACGGAATGTTCTCAATATATCTGTTAAATTCACCTGCTCCAGTGTGTCATTCAGAGCCGTTGTTTCCTTGTTGATTTTCTGTTTAGATGATCTGTCCATTAATGTAAGTGGGGTGTTAAAGTCCCCTACTATTATTGTATCATTATCCATTATTACTTGTACATTTATATTAACCATTTTATGTATCTGGGTGCTTGTATCTGGGTGCTTCCAAGTCGGGTGTATAAATATTTACAATTGTTATAACTTGTTGTTGGATTGTCCCCTTTGTTATTATATAGTGTTCTTCTTTGTCTCTTGTTACAGTCTTTGTTTTAAAGTCTATTTTGCTGATACAAGTATTGCTACTCTAGCTTTCTTTTGACATGAATTTGGATGATAAATGTTTCTCCATCCCCCCACTTTCAATCTGCAGGTGTTGTTAGGTCTAAAATGAGTCTCTTGTAGGCAGCATATAGATAGGTCTTGTTTTCTTATCCATTCTGTCACCCTGTGTCTTTTGATTGGGCCATTTAGTCCATTTACAGTCAAAGTAATTATTGATAGATATGTATTTATTGCCATTTTATTGCCTGTGTAGTGGTGCTTTCTGGAAATTTTCTCTGATCCTTTCTTGTTTTTCTCTCTTTCATGGTTTGCTGATTTTCTTTAGTGATGTATTTTAATTTTTTTCTTTTTATTCTGTGCATATTTATTAGTGGTTTTGATTTGTGGTTACCATTAGGTTTGTATATAACCCCTTCTGCATATAGCAGTCTATATTAAGTTGATGTTTGTTTAAATTTGAACAAATTCTTTATTCCTCTCCTCCCCACATTTTAGGTGTATGGTATCATATTTTATATCATTTTATTTTATGAGTTCCTTGACTGAGTTTTTACAGAAATACTCATTTTTATTGCTCTTGTGTTTCCTATCTTTATAAGCCATTTTGGTCTTTCCTTTTCACTCAAACACTACCCTTAAATAATTATTTCAGGGCTGGTTTAGTTGTCATGAATTGCTTTAGTTTTGTTTGTCTGGGAAGCTCTTTATCTCTCCTTCTATTCTGAATGATAGCCTTGCTGGGTAGAGTGTTCTAGGCTGCAGGTCTTTCCCATTAATCACTTTGAATATATCCTTTCTGGCTGGGAAAGTTTCTGCTGAAAAATCATCTGATAGCTTTATGGAGTTTCCTTTGTATGTAACTGTCTTCTTTTGTCTTGTGGCTTTTTTAAAACTTATTTGTTTTGAGAGAGAGAGAGAGAGAGAAGCAGAGAGAGAGGGAGAAAGAGAATCCCAAGCAGGCTCTGCACTGTCAGCACAGAACCCGACATAGGGCTCAATCCC